GCACACTTTGGCGTTAACACACGTCCTGAGCAGAAGGTGGGGAGTCACAGAGGCTGTCGTCGGGGGTGAGCGTCGGGGCGAGCTCTGGCAGGGCCTGGGCGGGGTCGTCGTTGTCGCAGGTGAGTGGCGCCGCGGTCAGGTCACCCACGGCCAGGTCACTGCGCGCTTTGCCTGGGAGCGAGCAGGCCTCGTGTGGCTTCGTCCTGGTGGTGATGGCGCCTGTGACGTCGCCGTCGGCGTGGCCCCAGTGGAGTCCTGGAAGGCGGCGTAGGCCAACTATTTGGCAGTCGAGACTGGCCTTGGCTGGACAGTGAGGTCGTGGATGGTGTGCTTCTCATCGGTGTTGGCGTGGTGGAGCCTGACAGAGGTGGCCCTCAAAATGCTCCAGGAAGGCCTGTCAGGGCATTTGGATCGACGTCGAGATGCGGCTGTTGCTCCAGACTGTCGCGATCGGCAACCCACGATGGGTCGTGGGGCGTGAAGGGTTGACGTTGCCCCGTCGGGTAGGGTCAGAGGAGCACGAGGTCATGATAGTCATAGTTTCGCAGATTTCCCAGATTTCAAGAACTTCCCAGATGTCCTAATGTCCCATACAAGGGCTGCAGAAACGGGTGCTGCTCGATACTCCAGAAGTTTCGGAATGCATGCTGAGCCAATCGAATCACTGCACCATGCTCGTCCTGTAGGGGCCGTCGGGGAGGGGGCTATGGGAGACGTGACGCCCGTCGTTCGTGGGGGCTGTCGGGTAGGTGGTCGTGGGGGCCGCGTGCGTCAGGCTCCGCCAGCCTTCCGACTCGTCGTAGGAGCCATCCTCGAAGTTTTCGGCATTCTCCTTCAGCTCCTCGGCGGCGAACTCGTCGACGTCCTCTCGGAGCCTCTGAGTGAGCGCTTTTCAACCCCCTTCTCTTTCGGCGCAGGCTCGCCATTCGGAGGGGCCGTCAGACGGGCAAGAGGTCGGACTGCCTCATGAGAGGGCTGACCGTGGGTCGTGCCGTCGGGCTGGCGGTCGATCTGGCCATCGACGACGCTCTTGCCGTTGCTGTCGTTAACGATGTGCTTGCGGGCGCTGGGGTCGGCGCTGTACGAGGTCGGGGCGGCGTTCTTGGTCCACAGGTGTGTGAAAAGCTGTGGCGTAGTGATGGGGGCCTTCGGTGTGAGGTGGAACGTCCAGGTCGGACCTGAAACCGGCGAGCTCGATGCTACCTCCTGGTCGGTATGAAAGTCGGTGTGGCATGCTGCACAAGGGCCCTGTCCAGCCAGCTGCTCGAACATGGTGGCACCACAATCGCACAGAACATCGCTGATGAGAGCTGTGTCAAGCTCTGTCGAAGGAGTTGCCTCATGGACGGTCGTCGGGGAGGCCTGGATTACCGTCGGACCGTGGGATAGGATCGGGGTCTGTTCGGGGAGGGTACCCTGCATACTGGTCTTCGTGTCTGTTGGGTTTTCTTGTGCATCCTGGGGGAGGACACCCTCGAGCTATCTTATGGTTCGGGGTGTTTTGGCTGGCGGAGAGTCACATGTTCTTGAAGGATGTTCTTCTGTCCTTGGTCCGGATGTACGACGCAGGCCGTCTTGCACTCCCGCCTAACAGTCATTCCGACATTTACACAAGCGCCATGCTAGTGGAGTTGCTGGTTCCCATTGAAGCTCTGCGCATCCAATCGTCGGGATACTGTCTCCAGTTGTAGGTAGTGTCCTCGCCATGCATGTCGTCGCATACGCGATTACGGGACTTCACAGTCCCAGCATTTGGTACATCTATAATGATAAGGTTTATTCCACCCGATGATATCGTGGCATTTGACGGTATTTGGTGCAGCCTTTCTGAAGCCGCTCGGTGGTCATCTGCTGGTTCCTGTGGTGGGTCGCTCGTCGTCGTGACGTTGGGCCGCGTTCATGGGGTGCGCAGACGGGGACTCCACGCCGTCGATGGGCATGGCTCGATACCGGCGGGTGCCGCGTTGGCCGCCGCCGCGAGTCTGACGGCCTTTTTCCAGCCGAAGCCTCTCGGGCGTTTACGGCCCATCCTTCTCCACCACTGGGATACGCACGCCCACTCTGAGGATCTGATTGTGAAGGCCTTACGGCTGGTGCCGCCGACCCTGAACACGACGACGACGAGGACGAGGAGTTGGAGGAAGGGGGGGAGGAGGAACATGAGGAGGGGGCGGAGGACGCGGTGGAGCAGCAGGAGGGGCAGTAGGAGCATGCGGAGGAAGATGAGGAGGGGGAGCAGGGGCAGGGGGAGGACGGGGGCGGAGAGAGCAGTCGGAGGACGAGGATCATGGGAGTCGGAGGATAAGGAGAAGAAGGAGGACGCGGAGGATGGTGGGGAGGAGGAGGGGCAGGAGGAGGGGGAGGAGTAGGAGGAGGAGGAGGAGGAGGAGGAGGAGGAGGAGGATGAGGAGGAGGTGGAGGAGGAGGAGGAGGAGCAGCAAGGAGGAGGAGGAGTAGGAGGAGGAGGAGGAGGAGAAGCGGAAGGACGAGGTCGAGGAAAGGTTGCGGAGCACCAGGGGAAGAGCACGCGGGGGAGGGGGGAGCATGATGATGAGGATGATCATAACAATGATACTGATTATGATGATGATGATGCTGATGATGATGATGATGCTGATGATGCTGATGATGATGATGCTGATGATGATGATGTTGATGATGATGATGATGCTGATGATGATGATGATGATGCTGATGATGATGATGATGATGATGATGATGATGATGATGATGATGATGAGGAAGAGGATGCGAAGGAGGGGGACAGGGAGAAGGGAAAGGGTGAGGAGGAACAGGGGGAGCAGGAGGAGGAGGAGGAGGAGGAGGAGGAGGAGGAGCAGGGGGAGCAGGAGGAGGAGGACGCTGTGGAGCAGGAGGGGGAGGACGAGGAAGAGCATGCGGAGGAGGAGGAGGAGGAGGAGGAGGAGGAGGAGGTGGAGGTAAGGGGGTCGAGATGGCAATGAGCAGGTGGAGGACGATGAGACGAGGCGCAGGAACAGGAGGAGAAGGGTGAGGAGCAGGGGGGAGGGGATGCTTGTCGGGGTCTCTTCGGAGCGCTTTCGGGGATCCCTGGTGGGCAGTTTGGGGCGTTTTCGGGGACTCTTGACGGGCCTCTTGGGAGCCTCTTCGGGGCCTCCAGGGGCTTCCTGGGGGCTTCTTGACGAGGGCTCGAGATGTCCGTTCGGGTTTCCCGTGTGGACACCCCTTTGGAGCTGTCTTGGGTGCCACTTGGCCTGCCTTGCAGGCGTTTCGGGCCGTCTTAAGGCCCTACGGGGCCATTTTGGGAGCCTGTTGGCTGATTTTGGGCCGTCTTTGGGCGATCTTGAGGGCCTCTTGGGCCGCCTCGGAGCGTCGGGAAGCGGAAGAGGCGATAACGCCGAACTCCTTGAACAACGTATGGTAAATCGATGAGGTTTGCCTTTTGTGGCCTTCGTGGGAGTGCTCCTGGAGACCTCTTGGGGCGTTTTGCAAGCCTCATATGGCCTTCAGGGGGCAGTGAAAGCGTCTTGGACAAATCGTTCGGCGATGCGGGGCCCTTTCTTGGACTGTCTTGGGGGTTCTTCAGGCATTATTGGCACGTCCTGGTATTTTTTTGGGACCCAGGACCCCTGCAGGGAGGCATCCTGGGTAGCGGCGGGCGGCAGTGGGTCAGAACATGGAGAAGCCCCGACACACCCACCCATTTCCTTCCTGGGAGACAAGTCAGAACCCCTACGCGCAAGCACTGTTTGGGGAATGCTGATGCAGTTGTTTCTTCTAGCGCCGTGGCGAGAAATCACGACGAGCATTTTGTTGTGTTGCCACTTCCCAGCTTCTGGGGGCCCTCGCAAGGCCCCAGGGCCATCTCCAGGAACGGGTCGGGCTGGAGAGCTTGTCCTTGGAAAGGTGTCCAGACTGTTCACTCTGTGAAAAATCACGACGTCGGGGTCTGTGATGTCAGGGGTCCCAAGGCCGTCAGTTGACAGGTGGTCTGGTGATTTCGAAATCCCGAAGACCTCACTGGACGGTCCGTCGCTTGTCTGCTCTTGAGACCCGTCGAGGCCTGGGCGCTCGATATATCCTCGATGTCCCAGGTCCCCAATCGGTTCGCTCACCCCGAAGCCTCCTCAGTCCACCAGATGGTGTGGTCGTAAGACTGTTCGTGCTCCTCCGAGGAGATCGAGGGACGGGGGGGGAGTCAGGCGCGGCAGGCCTTGGAAGAAGTCAGGAGGAAAAGAAACACACAGACACAATTAATCGTCGACTCCCAGGAAAATACGGGAAAATATGGGAAGTGGGGGGGGGGAAACGAAAACCCAAAATATATTGGAAAATACAGGGAGTCCTGTTATTTGTGTTTATTTATTTGTGTGTCCCAGGGTCCCTTGAAGAAGTTCGATCGTTCCGGAGCGATCGGGAGCGCTGTCAGCACGTTGCGGAGCGTGCTGGCACGGCTGCGGCGCCTGACCCATGCTCCAGACTCGCCAGCCCTCGGGCACCCCGAGCCAGCCTTGCCCGATGTTGTTGTGTTGGGGGAGTTCGGTGTTCTTCGCACGTCTTCGACACATCGCGTGGGCCCGCGGCGACCTCCGGAGGTGTGCCCAGGGAGGAGGAAGGGAAAGGAAGATCGAAGAAGGGATCAGCAAGAACATCGATTTTCGAGGTCCGCGTGGATTTCTTGGATCTTTGCCGGCGTCGCCTCTTTGGGCGCGCGGACCGCGCCAGGGGGAGCCCAGCTCCGATCCAAGAACTCCTGGCGGACCTCTCAGGGTCTCGTCTTGCGCAACGTGTTTCTCATAGAAGAGTAGAGATTGTCGGAGGTTGATAACCTCCTACCCTGACACGAGCGAAGTGGCCGCTTTCGGTTCGCGAGAGGGCGTCGGTGCCGTCGTTTTTGCGGGTCCGGGTCCGTCGGTTTCGGTCCTAGGCCGTTTTCACAACGAAAGGGAGGCTTACTATACGGAGGTTTGCCCACCGCCGAGAGAGTAGAAACAGGGGGGTGGGGGGGCGATGTGGCTCAGGGACCCCGAGTGCCAGTACACCGTTCGCGACCTCTTCCACAGGGCCGCGCGCTCGGCCGCGCCTCCATCCCCTGCCTCGCCTTAGCGTTGAAGGGGGTGCCCTGCTGCTCCTCTTTTCCTTTCTCCTCCTCCTCCTCCTCTTCCTCTTCCTCCTGCTCCTCCACCTCCTCCTCCTCCTCCTCTTCCTTTTCCTCCTCCTCCTCCCCTTCCTCCTCCTCCTCCTCCTCCTCATCCTCATTATCTTCCTCCCTCTCCTCCTCCTGCTCCTCCTCCTCCTCCTCCTGCTCCCCCTCCTCCTCCTTCTCCTCCTCCTCCCGCTTCTCCTTCATCCTCCTCCTCCTCCTCCAGTTCCTCTTGTCATTTCTTTTTCATGAGACAAGACGGCTGCAGCGGGCCCACAGCTATGAAGAATATCCCTCCTGCTTGTCCCTCCTCTTCCTCTTGCGTTCGCCCGCGCTCTGCCCAGTGATTGCCCTGACCTCGGGCGCCCATCACGATGGGCGCTTGCGACCACCGTGCTCTCCAGGGTGGCGCCGCCAGCACAAGGACGCCAAACATACACCGATTCTGCGCCTTGCCTGGCTCATCCTGGGCCGAGCCAGCGGCGCGACGCGCGATGCCCAACGCGGAGGAGGAGGAGGAGGAGGAGGAGGAGGCTGGAGGCGGACTTCGGCTGGAGGAGCGAGGCGGGAGGCGGAGGGAGTATGAGGCGTGAGGAGGAGTAGGAGTAGGAGGAGGAGTCTGAGTCGGCGGCAGGTAGCGTTAGTAGTAGGAGGAGGCGGCGTGAGGAGGCTTAGGAGGGTATGCGGCTGCTTCTTGGAGGAGGCGGACGGAGGAGGAGGCGGATGGAGGAGGGCGTGCTTATGAGGCGTCTTCTGAGGCTGAGGCGGAGGATTGCTGGAGGATGAGTAGCGATGCGGTGAGGGCAGGAGGAGGCGGAGGAGGAGGCTTAGTGATGCTGCATGTAGGAGGCGGAGGAGGAGGAGGAGGCGGAGGAGGTAGGAGGAGTAGTGAGGAGAGGAGGCGGGGAGAGGAGGACGGAGGAGGAGGCGGAGGAGGGGAGGCGGAGAGGTAGGAGGAGGAGGAGGAGGAGGAGGAGGAGGGGGAGGGGGCGTAGTGAGCGGAGGAGGCGGAGGCGGAGGAGGAGGAGGAGGAGAGGAGGAGGGGAGGATTCTTGTGGTTCGTTGCGGAGGCGAAGGAGGAGGAGGAGGCGGAGGAGGAGGAAGGAGGAGGAGGAGGCGGAGGAGGAGGCGGAGGAGGAGGAGGAGGCGGAGGAGGAGGAGTGGGGGGGAGGAGGGGGGAGGGGGAGGTGGGAGGGGAGGGGGAGGGGGAGGGGGAGGGGCGGGGGAGGGGGAGGGGGGGGGGAGGGGAGGAGGGTGGAGAGGAGGATGAGGGAGGAGGAGGAGGAGGAGGAGGAGGGGGAGGAGGCCCCAGATCGGTGTATACGCCCTCCTGGCCTGGGCAGGAAGGCGTGCGCACCGACCTCGGGCTCAGGACCCGCACCAGGATCGGTGTGGGGGCCAGCGGGTGCCCTCCGAAGCGGGGATCTGGGCCCACCAGCGGGGTCGAAAAGCCCCCAGGCCACATCATTTCCGATCCTCCCCCCCTCCTGTCTCCCCTCGTCCCGCTGCTTCCTCGCGCCCTCGTCTCCCCTCTGCTCCTCCCGCCTCATCCGCTTCGTCATTTCGCCACTTCTTCCGCGCCTACCTCTTTCTCTTCTCTGCCTTTTCTCGTCAGCCTTCATCGTTCCTGAACTTTCCACCGCATCCCTGCCTCCTTCGCTCGCCCTCCCCATATCTTCTGCCCTCCTCCGCCCCCTCCTCCTCCTCCTCCGCCTCCTCATTCTCCTCCTCCTCCTCCTCCTCCTCCTCCCCCGTAGCCATTTTGGCTCAAGACGGAGCTTACCTCCCGTCCCGACTCCAGAGGCTCGAGGCCGAGGTGGAAGGGCAGCCCCTTCCCAAGGCCTGGCTGCCTCGGCCAAGCTTTCAGCAGTGAGCTCCTGCAGGAGCGATTTCTTTCGTGTGAGTGTGGTCAGCGGATGGCCCCCGCTCTTGATGACAAGGAGTGGGATGTTCTGCTCGGCCCACGCAAGCCAGAGTGGGCGTGTGGCTCGTGCACGCGCCTGCACAACTGGGCGTCGAGGATCAAATGCGAGTGCGGGCGCTCGGCACCAGCCCACATTCGTGCACGTGCAGTCACTGCCCACAAAATTGCGTTGCAGCAGCTCGAGAGTGGTGGTGGCAAAGCCCGTGGCAAAGGGAAAGGTGGCGACAAGCCACAGAAAGGCGGTGGCAAAGGTGACAAGCTCGGTGCGCTGGAAAAGAAGCTTGACTCCCTCGTGGCATCGCTGGCAAAGAGTACCAGTACGAGTACTACGAGTACCGTACCTCAAGTTCCACCGTGGCAACGTGAGGCACAGCATAAGGCGGCTGAGACGGCGGAGGCAGCTCCAGACACTGATGAAGGGCGACGAGCTAAAGTTGCGGTTCAGGTCCAAGAGCTGGAGGCCTCCATCAAGTCTATGGCCAAGGATGATGAGTTCAAAGACATACGGGAGAGCATGGAGAAGAAGTTGTCCAGCTTGCGCGACCAGCAGAAGCAGATGCGGCCGCCTCAGACAGCTCATAGGCGTGCAGCCCAGGAGCTCAGCAAGGCGAAGGCGGCGATCGAGCAGATGTCGAAGGATCTGGTTGACAAGCGTGAGCAGTACGAGAAGTTGCGTGTATCCATCGAGGAGCGCGAGCAGTCGTTGGTGGCAAAGAAGGAGCAGCTGGTGGTCTTGCAGACGAAGTTCGACAGGACTGCCCAGCTGGTATCACAGAAGGGTGAACGTGGAGAAGGAGGCGAGCAAGGAAAAGCAGAACCAGGCTCAGTGTTGCTCCTTGACGTCGACACCTTCAAGGCTGAGAATCCAGAGGCTGAGGCGTTCCTCAACAGCGATCTCTGGAAGAAGCTGCAGGAGCACATCCGCGTCCTGCCCAAGGAGGCCGAACCTGATGATGGCATGGGTGTTGCGCCTCCTGGTGATGGTCAACGTGATGGTGGCGGCGGTGGAGCAGCCCAACCTGGTGCAGGTGACGGCGCAGCCAGCGCTGCGCGAGGCAATGATGCAGCCAGTCAAAAGCGTAACAATGAGCTCAGTGAACTCTCGGAGGAAGAGCGGAAGAACCTGTGGGCCCACTCCGACAGCTTCGAGGATTTCACTGCCAAGTTGGAGGAGCTCTACTTCGTCAAGACGTGCGCGTTTGGGGTGATGGTGACCTCCTTGCGCATGATTGGTTGTACTACGTCGAGGTGGTAGAGTGGCAGCCAACATCCCTTCGATCATCGGGACCAAATGTTTTGGCGCTGCAAGATGCTGAGCGTCCCTCCTGGCGGCGAGGAGAAGCGAGTGCGCCGCCGCGCCTCCCCTGTTCAGAAAAGAAGACAGACTCTATTCTCCTCGCCTGGCTGCGACGATGTCTGCGCGCCCAGCCCAGGGAGCTTGTGCTCAACAGGACAGATATGATGCGAACGGTTTCCTCTTGCCTCTAGTGACAGGTTTCAGTCCAGCTGCGTTTCCTCCCTCGCATCCTGAAAAAAAAAAAAAAAGTAAAAAATAAAAAAAAAAAAAGAAGGGGGGGGGCGATCGCTGGTGAGCAATGTCCATTGAAACGTTCAATTGCCGTGGAGGCAAGAGTGCGCTCAAGAAGCGGCTCAAAGTCACTCGACGTAGACGTGATTGTGCAAGAGTTGGTCACGTGGACCTACAGGTTGACGCCATCAGAGTGTGCAACAAGTGCGAGGATGGAGTTTATGGCGTTGCCTTCCTGTCCCTCAGCAGGCAACGTGCCCAGTGCAGGTGTGGCTGTTTTCGTGCGCAGTGAGTGCGGTGTGCGCGCGCCACAGCTCGGTGTGCATCAGGTGTGTGAGCATCGCGTGCCGCACGTGCAACTTGATCTTCCAGGGTGGCCTACCCTACATCTTATAAATATGTACATGTATCCCAGCTTAGGCCCTCAGGGCAAGAACGCCAAGTTGATGGCAGCAGCAGGTGCAGTAGTTGAGAGTATTGACGGTCCCTGTATAGTTGGGGGTGATTGGAATATGTCTCCTGACGAGGTCGAGGCTTCAGGTTTCTGTAGTTTTGCTCGTCTCACCCTCGTCTCTACTAAGCTATACACTTGTCGAGGTGGTACGGGTAGCTCGATTATTGATTTTTTCGGGTTGAATGATCCGTGCATGCGTGCGTATAAACATGTTAAGCTAGACACGCGATGGGCGATCAGGCCCCATAGACCCGTGCAGCTCGCTATAGCCAGCCAGGGATATCGAGTGCAGCATCTAGTGTATACTGTTGCCCCTGCTCTTCCTATTTCCCCCCCTTTCGGTCCTCAACCCTCGCCGCCAGATTGGGGTCCTGCGAGGGGTTTGGTGGAGCGCTGTGTCGAGATGGCGGGGGATGAGAAGACCGATCCTGGGGTAGTGCACAACTTGCTCAGCACCAGTTGGGGCAAGTTTGCCCAGATCGCTGCACGGTATATTAGTAATTGTACTGGGGGCGCGAAAGATACTTTTGGCAGTTTCGGGCGCCAAGTTGCACCGCGCTGGGTCAATGTGGAATATCCCGTGCCAGACGACACTGAGAAATGTTTAATAGCTGATGGGTGGCAGTGGCTACGCAACGCAGTCCAGCACCTAGGCCAGTTAGCTGATTTAGACGACATGAATGAGAATACACAGCAAACGATGCTTGCCGAGCTGGCGGTTTTTCGTGATAGTGACTACCCAGGGCTCGGTTTAAGCTCGCGTTTAGATAATTCGGTTCAGAAGGCCCGCAAGATGCTGTGTTCTGAGTTCTTTCGTGAGAATGTGGAGGAATTTCTTGTGGACATTGCTGAGGACCTCTCTGTGGCTGTCAAAGGTGCATCAAAAGAGATCCAGACCAGCTGGAGCGATTGGTGCAAGACTGCCAGCATGGGGGGAGCGCGGGGCCTACATAGGGTCACGAAGGTTCGGAGCGTTGTTTTGCCTACGGTTGTGCATGACCCTAAAGGCCCCAGC